CATAGAACAACTATCAACAAGTCATTCCAGATGAAATTCCAGATTTCTCAAATGTCTGAATTTTGGTTGACACACCAAACAACTAGTGGGTAAAACAAATGAATTTTGTTATTTTAAATCAAGTAAATATTATTCCAGTCATAATTTTGGCTATGAGAGTGGATTCTGATTTTCTTTAAGTATGAAATTAATATACCACTCAAGAATTGTTAAGCTGGAGCCTTTCCTACCTAAGAAAGGACAGTGAATTCAAAGTATATGTTCTAAGAAAGCATCTTCTCTGCTATACATTTCCATTAAGTAGGAAATGAATCTGAATAATGGAGTAGAGTTGATTAAAGCATTTCCAATCTAGTCATGACAAAAAGTAACCAATAAAGTTTAGTGTGTTTTTAATCTAGAACTGCCTGATGCAACTCTATATATGATGTAAATATTTAGTACTATCAAGTTTTAGGACTATCTGTCAAGGTGAACAAAGCTGTGCTATTCAAAACTGATTCTTTCTTAGTGAAGAAAATCAGAAAGCCTAAAGATGAAACTCTCCCAGTTATTTAATTAGTGACACTGCTCTACAGAATCTTTCTTGAAAATTCAACCTATTGAATACAGATAAAAATTCAGAAAACACAGAGGTGATGGGTTCAACATAGTCCTGTTTTTAAACTGAATGGGGCAGTCTATCAAATATGCCAGGACCAGGCAGCCAGGACTTGTATCATAAGAGCTGAAGTCAAATGTCACCTCTATGCATTTTCAGTGCAGTATGGCCTAGAACGGTTCTCCATTCAATACTAAACATTCAGGCCCTGTGCGTTCTACATCTTTTTCTGTTGTGCACTGGTGAGTAGGCACCACAATGTCAGAACTATGGGCTGGAAGAAGCCAAAAAAAAATTATTTATCTGCCTTCAAGGCAGGATCTTTGACTTATCCCTCATAACCCAGGCTTAATTTGTTAAACAGAGAAGTGAAAACAGCATTGCATGAAGTGAGGAAGGCATATGTGCTATGAAATCAGCGAAAGCAGCACTAGATTAAGAATTCCTTCTTCAGGTATGACACTCAACAAGGTGGCTGAAGGCAAGTTGCTAGAGTTCAACGTAGCTGACAGAATTGCTGCAATTTAATCCAAGTTGGGATCTTCCCAGGAGCATAATAAGAGATATCAATCCTGCAAGCACTTAAAGTCGCTAACCCTGCCTATGGAAAGCTCCTTCAGAGTCAGCCCCTTGCCTGAGAAATCTGGGGCCATTTCTAGCTTAGGAAGCAGCATCTAGGCTCCAATTACATTAGTCTTTAAGATTACCATTCTATAACCCAAGTAATCCTCAAAAACCCTGTAACTGTTTTATCAGTAATTGTTTGGGTTGCATTAAAGATCTGTTAAATTATTCAGTGAAATAGGAGCCATATGAATCTTAGGCAATCTTAAAGGAAAAAAACAAAAAAAGAACCTTGTATAAGCTTCTATGGCTTAGAGTCCGGTTCATCATGTAAGTGAAAAGTGATACTCAGCTGCAAGGCTATAGTCCACCCAAGCTTAAACTGCATCTGTGGGACAGCATCTGATGAAATGGACTCAAGATCACAAAGAGCTTTGCCATAACATCCTCAGTGGTCTGTATAGTGCCACACAATTGAGAAAAAGCAGGGCTCCTCTTCTGGGCAGTTGCTTCAATGGAAGAGTTAGTGCTTGCAGTTGGAGAAGCCAGCTGGACTAGTTCATATCTTACTTACAGAACTGACCAACTGTAGAACCTTTAACAAAGACCATCAATATTCCGTCCCAGCAGCTCCTGCTGCTACTTTCCATAGACCAGGAGGAATGGGGCAAAGTATTGCTAACTCCAATCCAGGCCCCAATAACTGTGGCCAGGTTTCTGCAACCTCCTGGTCTAACCTCCATTCAGGCTCCTTCTACTTTAGACATGTGCTGAACATTTGACCCTCAGTGCCATCAACCTCTGCTCCAGGAACCAGATGTGACCTTTTCAAGTGGCACACTTGTTTTTAGTTAACCACGGCCAGAGTGCATATGAGGCTTTCCTGGAAAACGAAAGCTAGATTTTCATTCTGGCAGCCTCCAGCCCGCATTATCCCAACAGCAAAGGAGACACTGTGTGGTGAGTCTTCCCCTAGAGGCCACAGGTCCCTTTCTCTCCTCAGCGCACAAGCCAAGTGCACTGGCCATAGAGACCTGGGGTGGCAGACTATGTTGACTTGCTGAGACAAAAACTCTTGGAAAACAGCAGAGCTCCTTGGAAGGAAGGTTCAGGTGAAAGCTTTAAAGTGCAGGGTGACTATTAATAATCAATGCTTTTTTTAAAAAAAGCAAGGCTACTTCACCAATGAAATATTGGCAACTTTAGAAAGAAAATCTGGGGTGTTTCTAATCTTTTTCTCAAGAATTGGGAATGTTAATCAGCCCATGTCAAGCATTTCTAGCACCGTATGTATGTCTACTCAGAAGTAAGCCTCACTGAATTCAATTAGACTTCTGTAGTCAGCTTGCATAAAAATACAGCCTCAATGGACAGGGAAAGAGTGAAACTTGTGAAGAGTTATGTCGAACCACAGGCATGAGGTATAAACCATCCTTAGAAATAATGGCCTATTTAAAAAAGGAAACGCTTGCTATCTACTCTCCAAGGCTATGCAGTATACTCCGTGTATACTTAAAGTGCTAACATTTGGAAATGAAAGAGGGACTTTTCTCCCAGCTGTTTATTGCTGCAGCTAATACTGTTTCATATTAGTTAAGAGATGGCAACTTCAGAAGAGTTACAAACTGCTTGGGGATATGATCTCTAGAAAGTGAGATCAGAATGACCCCTGCCTGCAGATCTTTCAGTCTTCAAGGATGAACTAGTGGTCCTGCTTTCTAAGGGTGGAGTGGGGAAGGGATAGCGAACTGCTCTCTCTGTCCCTGCCTGACAGCCAAACGTTAACACTGAGCAGCACAGAACTTTGTACCAATCAGTGGCAAACAGGAAGTGGAAATGCCTCTCCTGTCTAAAGGCTGTGCTGCTGCCAATTTACTTGCAACTAATTCCCACTGCACTCAGCAAAGCATCAAACAAGCTGCTTATCTCCTGCCAGATGCTGCTTGCATCCCTCACTGTCAAGCGTGAATAAGCTTTCATTTGTAAGATTTTACACCGCATATATTGCCCTGTGTCTACTCCAAAGAAAGCAGGACTGCATTCAAACACTTGCTAAGTTAAGAACATGCATATGGTTGCAGTAGTAATTGCCAGACTGTGACCATTAAAAGCCACACATATTTCCCTTTGCAAAGAGAACAACAAGGGCTGTGAGCAAGGCGTGTGCAGGATCTGTAAGTAATGGGGCTTGGAATCTTAGGTTGCCTTTCCTATTATCATTTGGAAATCAGCAGCCCAGGAAAAACACTCACCTCCATGTTTTAAGTGACTGTCTGACATTTGATCTGGCAAAGATCTGGATAAAAAAGGATGAGGATAGATTTAATGCCAGCTAAAACTAAAACCTGAAACTGGACTCTGATGAGTCTTAATGTCACAACTGAACATTTCACAGTAGGTCTTCCCCTTCAAACGGATTCCATTTGTTTTTTTCAATCTGAATCTGTAGCTTCAATAGAGATTAAGACCACATTACTAGAACATAATGGATGAACAATGACTGACGGCGCGATCATTTCTCAAAGTAACTAGCAGATGCCTATGAGAGTCAAACTAGGTATTATGTGGAGACCTATCTTCTCTGACTTGGGATTAAGTCCCATGAAGGCGACAGGATTTGCTTCTGAGTAAACATACACGTTCACGCCTGCACTGTTTGCTTGCTCAAAAGGATAGTTGCCAAAAGGAACTCAGGAACTGCTTGAACTTCAGGTTGCTTGTTGTTAGTAATCGGTTCAACTCGAGCTGCTTTTCTCACAGTGGACAAAAAGGACAGGGCGAAAAAGAGCTGGAGTTAAATTTTGAATAAAGCACTTTGAAGAGAAAGAATTAAGAACCTCATCCTCCCCGCTGCTGTACTTTCACTCTCCCTTGCAGCCTCCAAGGAATTTTTTCATTATCAGAAAGCAAAACCCAAGCCCTGTCAGGAGACAGATTTACCCAATTCCTGTCGCACATAGTTTGACTCTACACACACCTTACACAAGGGGCTTTCTACCAACTCTGCAATCTCAACCCTTGGCCAAAGGCAAGATCTTCTCGCTCGCCTGTGCATGACCCACCTCCTCTCCCCTCTCTTAGACCGGAGGCAAGCCCAGGAGTTCCACAAGGAGCAAAGGTTCCAGTTGGGCCCTGGGATGAATAGTGCTTACCTGTCCCCCAACTGGCCAAACAAGATGCTTTTTCACACATGGGACAGGGGGACTTGTTTGTGGTATGAAGCAGAACTGGGAAGCCCAGTCCTTGCTGTCAGCGCTATGTTGGCTTCACTGTACATGGTGGCGCTCACGGGCTTCCCTCCCCTGCAACATCTACCTGTGAACTGCTTCCAAGACTCCAAAGTCTTGCCTGACCAAATCCAAACCCCAGAGGTGATGCCCACCACCAGGCACATGAAGTACTTGAGCATGAAAACAGCATAATCAGGCTTCAGTCTGGACTTGTCTCCAGGGCAAGAGCAATTCTGAGCCATCTCCCATTTCTCCCGGTAGTGCTGCTCATAGATGTAGCAAGCCACCACAATGGTAGCCGGGACAGTGTAAAGAACAGTGAAGATCCCGATGCGAATCATCAGCTTCTCCAGCTTGTCAGTCTTTGTGCCCCCTTGTTTAATCACATTCCGAATTCGGAAGAGGGATACGAAACCGGCCAGCAGAAACATGGTCCCAGTGAAAAGGTACACCACCAGCGGAGCTAGGACAAAACCCCGCAGCTTGTCCACATTCTGGTTACCCACATAACAGATGCCAGCTACAGGGTCCCCATCAACTGAGCTCAGGGCCAAGACAGCAATGGACTTCACACTTGGGATAAGCCAAGCTGCCATGTGAAAATACTGGGAGTAGCTGGCAATGGCTTCATTCCCCCACTTCATCCCAGCCGCCAGAAACCAGGTAAGAGACAAGATCACCCACCAGATGGAGCTTGCCATGCCGAAGAAATAGATCAGGAGGAAGACCACTGTGCAGAGTGCAGGCCCCGTGGTTTCATAGTGTATGTGGTTGTAATCTTTATTGCAGGCCACGCTAGCGTGACCCACAATCAGCCGGATGATATAGCCAATGGATACAAAGAGATAGCAGGCTGATAAAAAGATGATGGGGCGCTCAGGATACCTGAACCTTTCCATGTCAATCAGAAAGGTGGCCACTGTGGTGAAGGTGGAGATGAAACAAAGGACCGACCACAAGCCGATCCAGAAGGTGGCAAAAGTTTTCTCATCTTGGGTAAAATAGGGCTGGAAGCAAGGAATGGCACAATTGCGCACGTGGCCAGTCTCAATCTTGTTGTAGAGCGGGTGGGTTTCTTGGGAGATGAAGACTAAGGGCTCTTTGCAGGCACATACTCTCTTGCAGTCACCACTGGTTAGGGGGGTGAGGTTTCTGTGGATCCCTTTGGAGGAGCGGGTAGGTTTGGTAAACAGCGGGGGCAAGGTTGTGGCTTCCGTCTGGTTGTGATCCATGCACAGCATCTCTGTGTCTCCCGGAACCGGCAGCTTATCACAGTTCATCCTCTCTGGCCAGGCAAAGCCGTACTGCCTCATCAAAGGAGAGCACCCAGCTTTGGCCCTCTCACACACTGACCGGCAGGGAGGCAGAGGCTTGGCATAGTCCAGCAAGCAGATGGGAGTGTACATGCTGCACAGGAAAAATTTCAGATCCAGGGAGCACTGAATCTCCACCAGGGGCCAGAACTGGTGCACTTCCAGGCCAGCTTCATCTTGCGTGTCGTGGTTGAACTGGTTCGGCATGTAGGTCAGGTTGTAGCCAATGCCCTTGCACATGGGCACGGTGATCTCCTGGCAGACGATGGCTTTGGACGCAGCGGGAGCAGGAACGGGAGCCTTCAGCAAGAACAGCAGGAGGCTCAGCAAGGTGTCTCTCGGACCAGGGCAAAACCCGGCCATGGCAGGGCGCACGGGCCGCGCAAAGCAGAGCGAGCGGTTCCTCCCGAGCGAGCGGCTCCTGCCTTCCCTTTAACCCCGCCGGCTGATTCCAAGGCAAGAAGAGCTGGACTCACAGGTGGCGCGGTCCTGGAGAACGTCCAAGGCCCCCCCGACCAGCCTTCTTTCCCCTCCCGAGGACCCCAAGTCTTTCCATGGCGAGAGCGGTTGCTGCCAACTCTGCGGAGGATTCGCTGTTCCAGCAAGGCAGGTGCGCGCGGGGGACAAGACCCGACAAAACAGAAAAAAGGCGAACTCCATAACAAGCCAGCGCGGAGGCCCCTCGCTCCTTCGCTCTCCGCGTAGAAGTTCAGCGCAGAGAGCAGGGCTGGATCCGCCACCGCACCGGGAAAAGTTTCGGCTTAACTTCGCCCTCGGCAGGGTACAAAAGTCCTTTCGGGGAAGATCCCGCACGGAGCTGAGCAGGCTCGGGTCGGCCCCGGGCGACGGCTGGAAGGGCAGCTGGCGCGCGTCCTCCTGCTCCCGGTCCTTTCCCGTTCCCAAGAGGAAAGTTGGTCAGCGGGGCCCTGCACCGGTTGGGGCGCCATGGAACCGGCCGGCCGGCCACGCC